GTGATAGGCTGTTAAGAATAGATCATGAAGAGCCTCTGTGTTTGCTCATATACTTTTGGCACCACAATATCAGTTACCGTTACATCCTATTAGTCCACTGCTGAACATAGGCATTCCCTAAAGCACTAAGGTGTAGTAGCAGTGTAAGAATATCCACTACCCATATCATCCCAAGGGTGTCGTAAGAGGTGACAGGGACATTAAAACAGGAAATGGGCGCCAGTGTTTTCCTAAAAACAATAAAAAACTGTAGTTGCTAACTTGCCTGCCATGCTTGACAAATATTTCCCCAACCATAATGAATGCGGATCTAAGAAGGCCATGAACGAGTGAATATATATTTTTTAAAGTGTAAATTTGCTCCATACTTAAATCTTAAAATGCGATGAAAGAATGGTGTTTTTTTTTATATAGGATTGGGTGACAAACGAGCACACAGTCCACCTGATGGTAAGTGGTTGCTGTGGCCCATAGACATCTACATTTATCCTCGTTTGTGAATCAAAATGCAGATGCGTTGTCACCCGTGAGGACTAAGATGGAATGCCTCTTTTCCAGTAAAAAGGGTCTCCGGTTCTCTACACTCACCATACGAAACACAGCAGCGTTAAGCTGCTATTTTACGCTGGTATTCTGTAAGAGCGTGTTACTTCCCCGGTCGAGCCGACTCATTCGTACTACAACTATACTACTAATATAGCAGCAGCATGGCTCTACCACGTAAAAAAAAGGTGTGACACGAAACTTCAGTCTCTGTGACCTCGCCCCAAAGTTTAACATTTTTTTCAATGAGAAATGCCTACACTTAGCTCGTAGAGGGCAATGACGGGATTGTGGACTCGCACCGACTATAATTGCATGGTGTTCCACCTCCGCAATATATAGGCAGGGCAACGGAAACGCTTTCTTACACATCCGCAACACCGCCAACGGCAGCCGTTCCTCGGCGGAAGACAACACATCCCCCCTACTTAGGCAAGTCATACGAGGCACGCGGAAACACATTCCTACATGGCCTCGTGTTTACCTGCATAATTGATGCCCCGAGTCCGTTATCCTAAGGCCATGGGTTCAAGAAAAATGTGTACCCTGAAGCACCAGCCTTCCCGGCCGAAGGGGCGTATCTATTCTATGGTGTCGATTTAACTATTGCCGCGTAGGGCAGACAGCGACGCATCTTAATAGCGGAACTCCTCGCCAGTGGCGTAGTTACACAGGGGCTAGATGGGGCAGTGCCCTGGGGCCCTCAAGCTAATGGGGCCCCATAGCCTCCAAGAACGACGTTCGAAAAATTATGTACTATCCTAGTTGTATAAAGAATTTTCGAGTTTTAACTATTTGGCCCCTGACCGCAAACGGTTCGAACTGAAATCACAATTACTCCCACTTCTAGAATATAAATATAACATAGTTAAAGATAATTGTCTAGTTCGTTTTATTGTCTTTTTTATAGAGAAGAGTGGGGCAAACGAGTATGCGGCTCGGCAAGTATCGACCACCGCCTATTAACAAATACAGCACCAGGGGAATTACAGGCGCGTTGCCGGTTTTAAAAAAAAGAGTAAGCTCGTTTCTTGAAGCTCCCTAAGTCTTAGCAGTAGTAGACCGCATACATCCCGACGATGTGGATTTGTGAAATGCGTTGAGGAAATTTTGTGGCTGGAATTAATCAGAACAATTCCTCTGAACACGCCCCGTAGTAAATGCGATAGAAAATGCACGGGGATGCAACATCGCTTCGCCTCGTCTTTCGTCTTCGTCGGTCTTCGACGATTCGATCCGTTCTACGCTGGATGCGGTCAAGTGGAAGGAACTGGTATTAGTTAGCCCCGGCCCAGGGATGAGTATTCCATGTTAGGCTGAACCTGCCCCCCTTGTAAAGTTGCAAGCAGAGTGCCGGCATAAAATAATGTCCCGCTCTGCTGAGCACGCCAAGTTTTATAGAGGCCAATTCAGCCTTCTCTTCCAAGTGACCACGAAATTGCACGTAATTCAAGTTTAAGTTCTTTTTAGTGGTAAATGCGCAAACTTGTGTCTTCTGGGTATTGAACTTAATTAGATTTAGTTCCAATCTGAGACTTTATCCGGCAAAAACTCGACTTCAGACACAAGTTTGTTCCGGTACTCGGCAACGTTTTCCCGAGAAATATAGGCCCAACCGGTGTATAAAACATAACCAGTGCACGTTACTGGTTTGCGACATATTATTGATAAGTAGAGTGTAGAGATGATAGCACGTAGCCTTGATAAAATTAAACTCTTAATTACACGCGGGCGAAGTCGCGGGGAAAAGCTAGTATTTAAATAAATCTTGCGTGGACAGGAGGCAAATGTGGTACGGGTTGTAAAAAATTGTTGTTGAGTGCGACAGAGAGCGACGGTCGCCGATATGTGAGAAAAGTGTTTGATTCAAATAATAATAATGACTATCCGTCAGCTAAGTTGATAAAGAATTAAAAAAGCAGACACTTCTGAAGGGGTTGACATAGATGCAAATTACCCCAAAATTGTATTTTCAAAAATTCCTAAAAAGTGTTTTATTTGAACTGCCATTTTTACAGCGTGTTTATTATGTATAATAAAAAATTCTCGACGACTTACCTGTATGCGCAGTACCAGGTGTACCCAGGTAAGCCAGGCAAACAGTCATATACCTGCTTATTGAGTAGACTGATACTTTTCAACAAAGTTTCATGATGCATCAAGCACTTCATGAAAAATGCATCATGAGCTCTCGGACCAAGACCATAGATGGATCTGCTTCATACGACAGATCGATATCCCCGCTACACCTCCTTGGAGAAATCCCCGCAAGACGGATAAAACAAAATACCTTAACAGGCTGACATCTGCATTCGCGGCTTTTGAGGGGACAAATACTATAGCAGATCAGTCGCTCCTAGAAGAACAGGTAGCAGCTGTTACTAAAGCCATGATGGATAGCTACCATGAATTATGTCCAGAAATCACTCCACCAGGGCATACTGAGGCAAAGCAACCGCGGTGAGTAAAAAACTAGATAGAAAACGTAATAAGGTAAGAAAAGCCCTAAATAGGGCCATAAATACCTCAAAGGATGAAGACTGGCTACTATACAAGAAACCTACAAAGTTATAAGTTCGAATACCTTACTGATACAAAAAATGTATCAGGTATCGACGCTTGATTAGATGGTGTAATTTCTGTAGTAACATAGAAACCTGTGAACAAGAGAATAGGATAAGGAATATCCTAGCTTAAACAGAACATGCCGGGATTCATCTCTCTAAAGAAACCCGACAGAAGCTACTTAACATTGTCGGATAAAGCCCAATGCATCCTAATTGAAACACACTTCCCAGGTTGCTGAGTAACTCAGGCGGTAAACCGAAATGAAGATACACTGACAGGAAGAACAGAAGATTGGAATTTAGCACAGAGAGTGATAACAATGGATAAAATCCATTGGGCCATTCACAGTTTCTTTTCTTCCCCTATAAGGCGGCAGGACCTAAGGGGGGTACGAGGGGGGGGGGGGGGGGGGTGTAAAGCCCTAATGGTCAGACTTGTTGCCATAATGAGCCTGTCTGGCTCTTAAATATGTTCCTAGGGGATGGAGGGGAGTGAAAATCACATTCATACCCAAACCAGTTAAGAGCGACTATACAGACTATTGTATAATTATATTGCACCACCTACCCAGTATTCATTGTTTATTCCTTTATACCATTGGTTGCCTGGAAGAGATCGCTATGTAGCGATAAGGCCACCAAATTGTACATTTAACCTGTCTATTGTTATGTAATTTGTTTATTAGTTTGTGGTGTACAATAAAGTATTTTCATTCATTCATTCATTTCATTCATACAGACCCATTAGCTTCAAATCCTTTCTCCTAAAGACGTTGGAGAGGATGTGTGAAAGGGAATTAAGGGGGTTGGTGCTAATTAACTTACCGCTACATGACAAACAACACACCTACAGCTTAGGTAAATCGACAGAATCAGCACTTCACCAGGTAATAAGAAAGATTTTTTTATAGGATCAGGGTGACAAACGAGCACACAGTCCACCTGATAGTAAGAGGTTGCTGTAGTCCATAGAAATCTACATCTATCTACGATTACGAATCAAAATGCAGATGCGTTGTCACCTGTGAGGACTAAGATGGAATGCCTCATTTCCAGTAAAAGGGTCGCCGGTTCTCTACACTCACCATACAAAACACAGCAGTGTTAAGCTGCTATTTTGCACTGGTATTCTGTGAGAGCATGGTCCTTCCCCGGTCGAGCGGACCCATTCATGCTACAACCATAATATAGCTGCAGCATGGCTCTACCACGTTTAAAATTGAAGAGGCCATCCAAAATAAAGATGATGTCTAGGTTCCTTCATAGATATAGAAGGTGCTTTTTTCAGAACAAACTTCTCCAGCATAGAAGGTGCACTAAGTAAACCTAAACTTGTACTGGCACTGATTGACTGGATTGGAAACATGCTCAGTGGACAATTAATAACGATTGCTGGTGAATCTCAAACAATCCAGATCAAGAAAGGCTGCCCGCAGGGTGGGATTTTTTCACCTGTCCTGTGGAATATGGTCATTAATAAACTCATCAGCAAATTAAATGCCAATCACTTCTACACTGTAGGTTATGCAGATGACCTGACAATACTGGTTTCTGGAAAAACAGCAAGCATGGTGTGCGACCTGACTGAATACTACATAATCATTAATCCAAATAAAACAGTCCTAATAACAAACACTAAGAAAAATTTGATGATTTAACATAACTGCATCATTTTTTCTTTGATTCATCATTCAATTAAAAGCAAATAACATTAAATTACAAAAATAGAAAAATTAATGCCAATTAAAAATTTAGTTCAAATAAACACTTATGTACCTCAACAGGTTTCAACACAAGTGCTAATCAAAAATTGTATATTAATGTGTAATAAAATAGTAAACTAAATTTAAAATTAAAATAAATATATATATTAGTACAATCTCAACTTACAACATAACCAGCTTCCATACTATGTTTGCAAGGATCAGTTCTCATCCTTAAAAACTCTTTTCTATATTTTGCTCTTCTTTCCATTTGAGCTTTAATTATTTTACACTCAGTTTCAGAAATAAGTTGATCAGTCATTGCTTCCTATATTTTATATTCTTTCTTACTATGAAAAACGATGGTATTGAACAAATAAAACCTATCAATTTTAAGCTTTTTAGAGACAATTTTATTTTTTAACCAAAAATTGTGTAAGTGGCCAGCTTCAAAATACGGTTAAGGAAAAAAAAGAGAAAAATAAACAACAATAAATACTATATTCCTAACAATGATTCAATTTATTTTATTTACATTTTAAGCAAGTTTAAACAACCTGTCTCTGTAACGAAGTTCACCATTTCTGATCTTCTGCTCACGATCATTGCGTTCATTCCAAACAAAATATCCGTATACAAACATAGGCACTACTATAGCACAAATTCCAAATATACTGTTTCTCTTATTGGGTTTGAATTGGTCAAACTGAGTTGCTTTCATGGACATGAATTTTTGAAGTGCTGGATCAAACTAAAAAAAAAAACATAATTTTTCATAATTATTATGGTATTTGACATTATAAATGTTATAAACAATAAAGAAAAAAAAATTACGTAATAATAAATAATCACTCACAACATATCCAGCTTCTGCGGAATTTTTCCAAGGATTAGTTCTTTGTTTTAGAAACTCATGTCTTAATTCAGCACGCCTAGAAGCTTGCTGTTGTATAAGCCTATACTGTTCTTCAGATATACCATATTTTTCGGCCATTCTTTGTACCTTTATAAAACCAACCAAACTATAATAATTTTGACGTTAATTAGATTTGATTATTAGGTCTAGGCAGGTCTAGGTTAGCACGGGATTTAAGCCGGCCTCATACATACGGTATTCCGTTTCGGAATGCCGTATCGGATTCGGACTTCCGAACGGCTCGGCCACACACATACGGAATTTCGTTTTGCCCGCAAAATTTCGAACGGAAAACTACCGTACGTGTGTGACGGGTCATATATTTTATATGAACTTGCTGCGTTCGGAATCTCGAATCGGAATATCGAATCGGAATTCCGTATGTATGTGGTCGGCCTTAAACTGTATAATCTGTGAGCAAAGGCACACACAGATAGTTTAAGGTCGGCCTTTCGGGATTAGCCGGGTACCCAACTAGCGCACAGGCTCGCGCCGCAGCCTCGGTGTGCGGCTCGCGAGCGAATGCTCGCGAGGTAGCCTCAATATTATTGTCCGGAGTTGAGAGGCATGCCTCGCGAGGCAGGCCAAGCCATCATAATTTCTCGAGCATCCGAAATGGACAGTTGTGTAATTGCAGCTGCAGCTACTTTCCTAGTTGCTTATTGTTTAAAAAAAGCGAAAACAGTATTTTGGAACCCACAGCATCTTGTACGTACCGTACAGTTAAATTAAACGTATCAACTCACCCTGATTGCTCATGATATTATATAATTAAAATGACTTCAGTAAAACTAAAACAAACACTATAGCCTCGCGAGCCAAAATACAACCGTATTTGGTGTGTACCAAACGAACAGCGAACATTTAGGCACCTTTCAGTGCGTCAAGTTTACCGACACGGCATGGCTCGCGGTTAAGCGGCGATCGGGCGAGGCAACGTGCGCCTGAGGCAACCCGAGGCACGTCCACATCAGTCGAGGCATTGGCTTTTAAATATAAATGTCTGTAGACTCTTTCGACGAATTATTAAATTAAATAAGATGAGAGGTTACGAAAAGCTATACACACATAAGATTAAATGTAAAAATATACTTAAACACACCTACTAGCTTCGGTCGTGCCACGAACACTGAGCGCGTTCCGTACGGAATTTACGAATGTGTGTTGCGACTCATACAAAATCTATGAAAGACTTGCGTACAGAGCGGCTTCTTTCCGTTCGGAATTCTGAACGCACAGGCAGTCATGCGGAATTTCAAATCGGAGAAATTTCCGTACGGAGAATTACCGTACGTGTGAGGCGAGACATAGATTTTATATGGACTTGCTGCGTTCGGAATTCCGCGAACGGAATTCGAACGGAATGCAAACGGAATTTGATATGTATGTGGACGGCCTAAGGCCGTTTCCGTTCGTTCCGAATATACGAATGTGTGCTGCGACTCATACAAAATACTTGTGTTCGGAGCGGCTTTTTTCCGTTCGGGATTCCGAACGCACAGGCGGTCATACGGAATCTCGAATCAGAGAAAATTCCGTACGGAAAACTACAGTACGTGTGTGGCGGGTCATAGATTTTATATGGACTTGCTGCGTTCGGAATTCCGAATCGGAATTTTGAAATGGTATCCCGAATCGGAATTGCGAATGCATGAGACCGGCCTAACGAAGATACCGAATGAAATGAAGACATGGCTTAAAGGACAAGCATTCAAGCCATAAAAATCTTCATAAAAACTGATAGTAAATAAGTAAGTAAGATACTCTCAGATAATTTCTTGCTCTCAATGCGCTAGTACTTTGTGGTTATGGAGTGTAGAGAGAAGGAGGACCATCTATATACTATGAAAAGTGTCCCTAAAAACGTGTCCAATAAGGGTGGCGCTGCAGTAGCATAGGATAATTTAAAAAAAAAGCGCCAAAAGTAATTAGAGTAAGATGGAGAAATAAACAAGGACCAACCAATCCGCTTGGTTTTGTACTACGTAAATAGTTGAGATTTTGTATACTGGCATTTTACTAACTACTTTAGTCATGAAATTTTTTATATATTTGAATTCAGCTGACTTCACTCCGTTTATAACAGCTATCTTCATATCGTAGTTTTATCAGACGCCAGCGCTATTGTGGTAGGTTTTGGAACCTCTATTTTCAGTAAATAGTAGGACACTTTTTCAACTTTCGCCCCTTATAAGATAGTTCTCCTTGTACTCTACACTCCATATTTGTGGTCTCAATGCTCTCAGAATAGCTTGTTACATATTTATTCATCTGTGTCTCAGAATATTTTTGTTAGTTTGTAGTCATAGATATTGGCCTCTCCGCTAGGATTAAAAGTGTTCTGTGTAGGCATGAGGCCAATATATCAAAACGTAACTAATAACGTTATGTTATCAAAATATCATATCATATCGATAAACCTAAGTATTATATACTTAGGTTTATCGTTATCACATATCCAGTCAAAACCAACTAACCCACGTACGAAACGTAAAGCGCAAACTTGAACGATATGCCAACAGGGCCCAAAATTAACCGATGTCCTTTGTTGATGTTCGTTGTTCCTCGTTCTAGTTGCGATGTTTTGGTACTTATCACACAACTATGCACATAGTGAAATATAATTAATTACCAAATGCAATAAGGTCGAATTTTAAATAAAATTGCCTAATTTTTAAGTTTGTGTAGTTGTGAGAGTTGTCAAATTTAAATGATCTTTAGAAAATTAGACGCAAGACTTATATTTGTACGACCATATTGTATTTGGTTTAGGCAACTTTTTATTTATGCTTTGGATAGAAAGTTTAGAATTTGATTTTTTTTTTAAAACGCAACAATTACGCACTTGACCTTGGTGGCGCGTGCTGTTGACAAAGATATTATCTATAATATATAATTATAATTTTTGACGTTGCGTTTGTGCATTTATTTGCAATACATTTGTGTGGGTTTTGTAGGTTAGTTTTAATTCAGACAATTATGTGTAAAGTGAAAATATAGTATAGTATAGTTTAAGTTGATTTAGACTCTTTTAAGATTTTAAATACAACCCTATTTAAAATCTTAAAAGAGGGTTGATCATTAACGAAAAGAGGTATCGACTCAAGCCCCACAAAGTTGAGGGAATTACATTTTTAAATGAAAACCTTGATAAAAACGTTATGATAAATAAAAAAGTTCGAAAATAAAAAAGAAAATATTTAAAAGGAAAAGAATGTGACTTATTCTGTAAATATTTTTAAGCCTTGTTTGTTAATACGGCGATTTTTAAATACACCAGAAAAGTTATATTTTTAATTTTTATGTAGGTACCTTTTGTATCCACTACGTTATGATTAACTTTCTTTATTTTGCAATGTGCTTTGTCTATTTTGTATTTTGTGGAATTCGAATTTAAAACTTTTATGCTAGTCCTAAGCCTAGTTAAGCATGAAGGACAATTGCCAACTTAAATAATCATTAATAAATAAACTACCTAGAATAATTTTCTATATATTTTATAAATTATGTTTATTTAATATGAAAAGACTTTAATTATAGACTTTGAAATCAAACTCTGATCCAACATCTCACTTTGAAAAAAAAATGGGTAATAAAACTGCATAAGAATGAATTTACATAAATTGTATATTAACATACATATCCAAATGTTGTATCTAAGATTATATTAGAGCCTCTGTCTTCTTAGCTAAAATAGTTGAAGTAATTCGTAAAATAAATGTTGCACTGGTTCTACAGTTTGCGGTTATGTTTCGGTTGTCGTTTGTGCTTTCAGTAGCAAACCATTACTACTGATATTGATATTTGAAAACGGTTTTCAATAACGATATGAAAACTAAATGTCGGTTATGTAACCGTTGCAGCTAAAAACTGAAAATGCCCATGCTTAGTTCTGTGTACTAGCACAGGTAGGCTGAGACTTCCGGTTATACACTATTATTATCTATGGCTCAGAATAAGCCTGTAAATTAAAGTTAAATTACGATAGCTGTCAAGCACTGGCATAAAATAAGTTAAAATAAAACGCTACTTTAAGGTAACCTGAGAGTAATAACATACATACTTATGCATAAAGAGAACTCAGAATTCTACTTTTACTAATTTAATTTTCAAACAAGGCAAATAGAGACAAATCTATTGAAAGATCTTGGGTGTAATTCATGTGTGAAAATACAAATTTCAAGTGGTCATCTTTGGCCTCTTTATACAATGCTAAATATGAGAGTAAGTACACTCGTACCTTCTTATTTACTAGAAAAATGACATCCTTATTGTAGTAGTATGTGTGACGTTACTTTACAAGACATGGCGTTTTTAATGTATAGTAATTTCGTTCGCAATGTTGCTAATATTCGACATCTATATAATCGTTTTGTTTGGATATTTGTTTTTATTACTTTATTATATGTCTAAAAATAAAAACGAAATAGGACTAGACTTATTATTATTCGAACGACCAAGTAAATTGTTTTCTAAATCAAGTATGATGATTATTATATTAAATTGCATATATTCGTTTCGCAAACTTTAAATACTAATATTAAAGCAGGTATGAATAATAAGTCTTGATAGACACACAGTACATAAACGAGTTGGATTTCATTTATAATTCCAATTTTATATTTTGACTAACGATCTACCCTGTCTTCGCACGACTGTTTTCTAGAACTAGTGTTCGTAATCGATTTATTGGTAGTTGTGATCTAGCGAAAATAGAGAAAGCAGAGCGCAGTCGTCGCGCTGCTGTTATTGTACTATCGTGGCAGTGTCCTCTCGGTACGTTCTGTGAACCAAATCCAGTGTAGATTAAAAAAAAACAGTCATTATTTCCCGTGTTCTCAGTTACTCGACTCCAAAGAGTCGGTAATATTTTCATGGAGCAATGTATGCAAAAATGCAATGTATATGCTTTTACAACAAAATCCCAGAAAATATGCAGACCTTATTTATCAAATGGTTTAAATATTTTTGGGCGACCTTCCGTACAGGCCCGGACGTTTGACGCGTAAAAAAATAGCCAGGCGCATGATGGGATATTTAACATATGTTCAATATATATTCTAAGGTTTCTATCACCA